AGGAGGAGGAGTCCTCTGGTTAGATTAAGGACAGTCTATCTGCCATTGGACCACACCTTCACACAGGGGTGGGGAAACTGACTCAAAAATAACCTAAGGTGTGGCCGCCCCTCCCTTGTGCTGCCAGCTAAAGGCTTCCTGGATGGGGAGGAGACCTAGGGCTCCTTGGTTTTCCTGTGGTTTACCTGTCTGGAGATGCCCACACTGTTCCCTTTCTGGGGGCAGCCGTCCCTGCCGCCCCCTGCATTTTTTAATTGTACAGTGACTGCTTTGGTGAGGCTAAAGGAGGTCTTCTATGCAGGGGGCTGGATAAAGGCACCCAGAGTCAGCTCTACGCAAGGGTTGCATTCTAGATGTCAGGGGACAGCCCCCATGGCCACAGGTTCCAGCTGTGCTCTTTAATTCTGTCTTCCCAGGAGTTGCTGGTCCTCCATTCCCAGAGTGGGTCCTTTGGTCCCCATTTAACACATCTGGCTAGAACCCTGGGCAGACTGTGTTAAAGATCATCCACACTCAGTTCTCAAGGATGACTTAATAATGGGAGGAAGTGCAAAATCTCCACCCCATAAACAGCTGTAATTTTACATATGAAGTGTCTTAAGTTTTACAAGGCATACAAGAGAATAGGAAGGAGGCATCTCTGCTTGCTTCTGAGAAAGCGCAGCTGCAGGTCCCCAGAGGCTTGAGCCCAGTCAACTAGGAGGGAGGAGTTGAGCGCGCAGGAAGAGCCGGTAAAAAAACCCCAGAGCCTCGGGTTGCCTCTGTGCTCTCACGTTCTGTGCCGTCATTGACTCTCCTAGTTACCCCTCTCTCTCCCACTTTCAGCTCCGCACAGCTCACCAGGAAAGTCGCCTGGGGACAGGAAGTATAAACTTGTGCATAAATATAGACCCATTTTAAACATCACTTGTGCTTAAAGGGACCAGACCAGAATTCTCTTCCCCTAATGAGCAAGATTAAATTCTGCCCCTTCAAACATTCGGTGTATTTAAGAAGAAGACCCCTATTAAGGCCGGGTGTGGTGGCTCACGCCCATAATCCCAGCACTTTGGGAGGCCGAGTGGGTGGATCTCTTGAGGTCAGGAGTTTGAGACCAGCCTGGCCAACATGGTGAAATCCTGTCTTTACTAAAAATACAAAATAGCCAGGTGTGGTGGTGTGCATCTGTAATTCCAGCTACTCAGGAGGCTGAGGCAGGATAATCACTTGAACCCAGGAGGCGGAGGTTGTAGTGAGCCAAGATCACGCCACTGCACTCCAGCCTGGGCGACAGAGTGACCCGTCTCAAAAAAAAAAAAAAAAAAAAAAAAGACCCCTATTAATATAAGAAAGGAATTCTAAGTAAAATATCTCAGGAGCCCAGTTCTTTACAATATTATGGTATAGTCAATTAGGGAGCATGGCTTTCTCTGGCAACCAAATGTCAAGATAACGATCTAACAATACTCACGGGGGATATAAATAGTGTGGTCTGGGCCACATAGATCCATTTATCACCAGTTTAAGAATTTACCATCGGTTTAAGAATTTACCAGTTCTTTCTCCATCCTTAAGGGGCATCTTTGGACAGCCTTGAATTGGAAGAAATGGCTGTCTGGAGTCCAGCCCAAAGAGCCAGGCTGGAGGAAGCAGAGAAGGTGGTTATTAAAATCAACAACATTCGCAGGAGATTGGATCACTTACTTTCTTCAGTAAACAGAAAGAGTAGAGCTTTGGCTGTGAATTTTTTGGTTGGTAATTTTTGGTTTTTGTTTTGTTTTGTTTGCCAGCCCCTAGTGCCAGTCTCTCCATACTCTTTGAAAGATCATTCTTTCTATCCTTGCATATCACACAGAACTACTCAGCAGGGAGCAGGGCAGAAAACGGGAGGTTACACGAGGTGTCCACACACCGGCCAGGGAGCTGCCAAGTCCCTTTTCCCTGCTTGGCAGCCAGAACCCTGACGATGAGGCGCAACCCCCAGCTGTGAAGCTGGAGACACTGAATGACTCAAAAGAAAAGGTGTCCAGGAACCAATAATTGGGGGAGCTCCCAATGAGACAGCCAGATCCACACCTGTTCATTTATTCTTTAATCTGTTCACTCAAGAAAGAGCCTACTATCTGCCAAACAGTCTTGATGCTGCAGATACAGCAGTAAATAGACACCAATCCCTGACTTCAAGGCACTTATATTCTAGTAGGGAAGAGACAGTAAACTAAATAAATCATACCAAATATTAAAAGATAGACTGGGTGTGGGGCCTCACACCTGTAATCTCAGCACTTTGGGAGGCCAAGGCAGGTGGATCACTTGAGCTCAGGAGTTCGAGATCAGCCTGGGCAATAAGATGAAACCCTGTCTCTACCAAAAATACAAAAAATTAGGTGAGCTTCCATGGAGGCATGTGTCTGTGGTGCCATCTACTCAGGAGGCTGAGGTGGGAGAATCACTTGAGCGTCGGAGGATTGCTTGAGCCCAGGAGGCAGAGGTTGCAGTGAGCTAAGATCGTGCCACTGCACTCCAGCCTGGATGACAGAGTAAGACCACATCTCAAAAAAAAAAAAAAAAAGATAAATGCTATAGAAAAAAATAAATTGATAAAGAGGGATAGGGAATGCTAAGTGAAAGTGGAAGGGAGAGTGTTAGATAGGGGGATGGGGGAGCCCTTGCTGAGAGGGTGAGATTTGAACAAAGACTCCATCTATGGTGAAGCTATCAGTTGGCAAGCCTAACCTATGTACACAAGTCTTCCAATCAGTTTTTTAGTGCCTCATTCTTTACAGATAGTCACATCTCCAGACATTTGAGGAAGGCTTTCAGATGTAAAAGAGAAAGAAAATTGGGGCTCAGAGGAAAAACAATAAAAAAGAGAAAGATGCAGTTTGCTAATTTTCTTTCCATAGCCATTCTCCCCTTCTTCTTGTATAGATCTCCTTCTTTTTGTAAAGTTTTAGTGAGTTTTAGTTGGGCAAGAGGCTTCCCAGGCAGGGGCCCCTCTGTCTAGCCTGCCCTGCAGCTGGTGGGGCTATCACACTAAGTTCTGGCCAATGGGATGTGAGCAGAAGTGGTACATACGACCCCTGGGTCAGTCATGACCCCTTGGAGCAAATGCCACCTGCCTGCCTCTGGACTTTTTTGATAAAGAAGCTTCTATCAGGCATTATATCTTCGTTATAGCAGCCTAGCATGTATTCTGACTCATACACGTGGGTCAAAGGAAAGAGGAGATCCAACATAGGAGAGAAAAAGGGAATCCCCAGAATGACAGTGAAGGGAGATCCCAGATAGAGAACCCTGTCTGCCTCAGGACAGAGGGCAGCAGTCCAGATTGGAGCAGTGTAATTTTCCATGTTGAGGGTTCTCTGTAGTTGTACAGTTTTCAACTTGAGGACAGAAAGCTGAAATGGGCCTGAAGCAGATCTTTGTCTGTACTTAGCTTGCCTGGTGGTGATGACATTTCTGTTCTCCCTGCTACACAGCTGGCCAGCTGAAGAGGTGTGGGTGTGCTTTGAGCTCCTCCTGAAAGCTGGGGGCAGGGACATACTGAGCTTAGAAGCAGAAAATGCAGAGCAGCCCTCTGCCATTATCACATTTCTGGGGGACACTCCACGCTTGGTTCACACAATAGCCTCCCTGATCGTGGCGTGCTGTGTTTCCAGGGACTCACTCAGCACCACTTCTGCTTCCCCAGAAGAGGCTCTGGAAAACTTGCAAGGGATGCTGAAGCCAGTCTATAACTCAGTCAGTGTTCAGTTTACCTGTTCTTGGGATTGTTTGTCTAATTGTGATATCACCTTTTTCTTCCATAGCTAGGTCGGTGTTACTCTTTTTCAAAAGTAAAATGTATTGCTTAGAGATATTATAAGGAGTAAAACTATAAAGTATCAGAATGATTACAACAAAAATGAACTAGTGGTTACCTCTATGGAGGGATGGAGAGAGGGAATACCCTTGGGGAGGGGCACACGGCCCTGTAAGGTACTTTATCAGGACCTGGGTTTGAGGCAGTTAGAGCAGAAAAGACTTTTAGTACTATTGGCTTTTTAAACCATATGCATACATTGCTTTGATAAAATAGCTCTTCTATGTTGGGAACTGGGTTTCCATAGTTAAGTCTAGGTTCTTGCCTTTGGGTACTTTTTTTTTTTTTTTTTTGAGACAGAGTCTCGCTCTGTTACCCGGGCTGGAGTGCAATGGCATGATCTCAGCTCACTGCAACCTCCGCCTCCCAGGTTCTAGCAATTCTTCTGCCTCAGCCTCCCGAGTGGCTGTGACTACAGGCATGTGCCACCACACCCGGGTAATTTTTGTATTTTTAGTAGAGATGGGGGTTTCACCATATTGGCTAGGCTGGTCTCGAACTCCCAACCTCGTGATCCACCTGCCTGGGCCTCCCAAAGTGCTGGGATTACAGGCATGAGCCACTGTGCCCAGTCGCCTTCGGGTACTTCTGAATTTGGCAAGAAACCAATACAGATGATTAACTACAGCGTAGCCTGATAACAGCCGTACGGTATCTATATGCAGTGTTTTTGAATTCCAGAAGAGGAAACGATGATTTTAAGTCAAAAGGCCATGAGAGGAGACAGAAAAGAGAGGGGAACAGTCTAAATCAGGCATTGAACAAGGAGGAGTTTCAAAGGAAAACAAAGGAGAAGAAAAGGCATCTCAGGAGAAAGAAACACAATGAGCATGGACAAAGAAGTGTGAAAGTGCAGGGAAGTGGTCCAGAGCGGATCAGGCACTGTAACCTCTGGCGGGGGAGGGGAGGGGCGGCATTCATATTGTGCAGTGTGTAACCTGAACAATCATCCGTAGTGATCCTGGTTGAAGGGAGTGGTTAGGGCCCACAAAAGAAAGAAGCGAGAAGTACCCGGGCCTTAAGTGGGAAATGGCAAAAAGGAATATGAAATGAAAAAAGACTGTTATTAAACCCTAAGCATTATTCAGTAAGCTGGAGCTGGCATTTATTTCAATATGAAATTTCAAAATTATATCAACCATTTGTACCCAATGAGTGACAGCAGCACATGTCTTTATTTATATTGGCATGGCCAAACATAAACACAGTTTTAAGTTAGTATATTTCGCCTAACATTCCTTAATGTCTTGAGAACATGGAAACAAATTGGACAAAAATCACTGAATCATCTACAGGTATTTTTTTTATTAGAAAAGAAGTTAAGTGTTGTCACTAGAGACTGAAGAAGGAAATTAACAATCTTACAATTCTAGAACAGGCAAACTTCATAAGGGATTCTTAAGTTTTCAAAGTGTGGGGGCTCTTTCATAGATACACTCTTGGTGTAGGGGGCTGTAAGTTTTCTCAGATGTTTCACATTTCGTGCTTTAATCGTTGCTGGTAGTCTAAATCAAACAAATACACAGTGTTCAGGATTATCTGGACAGCCATCTTAAATAACAGAGTGTTCCGCATGACCACAGCCTCTGCACTTGTGCCTTTGATCCATGTGACGCCAAGACCAACTATGCTTTTCATATGATTTCTCCAATTGGGTCCTGTGACCTTTCACAGAATTGTTGAACATTTCCTATGAGATCTATGGAGGACAAGGTGGAGAACACTGGTTCGGAGCAGTGATTTTCAAGGTGGGATGGGATGGGGTGGGGTTGAGTGGAGAGATGCATGTAGTTTGAAAGAACACATTCAAAATACCCACTGATATCATAATACAAACTCCATAAAGTCAAGCAGCAAAATGATTTCAGCTAATGGACAGTAGCAGAAAACCAACTATGGATTCATCATTGTGGAGAAGGAGTCTGGATAAACATAGTTGAAAAACACTGGCTTAGAGGTAGAGACATGCTGACACGTGGAGAACAGTAAGAAACGTGTGCCAAAGAGAACAGTTGAGGGTCAGTGAGGGAATCCTGGGCCAGAACTTGTCACAGTCTTCTGAAAACCAAAGAGCGCATCCAGAAGAAAACCAAGATGGCCCGTCAACCTTCTTGGCCCTGTGGTTAAGAGCAAGTTGATTCACTTTTAAATACAGAGCCAAAAGAGGAAAAAAGCTGTTTGTGCCCCCAAATTCATCCACCAGGAAGTGCTGTCATCATTTGCAATTCCATCCAGCTCTTGAGGACAGATGTCAGCATGGGGGGCCTGCTCTGCCAGGAAAGAAAGAATGGGATCTTCTTGTAAGGCAAAATCCTTCCTTTCTTTCATTACCAGAACACTTACACCTGCCATTTCAACACACTCTGTTGCAGATGGTCCTGAGATGCAGCTGCCAGTAAAATAATGGCAGCATAGAACACTGAAGGAAAAGGCCAAATGCAAGAAAGGAGACTTTCTGAATATGGGGGACTCTAATGCCCACACCAAAATAGAAGCAGTTTGAGAAATGACATTTCCCATCTTCTCCCATTCTTAATCTAAGCCTAAATTGCTAAACATGTCCCAGAATAGGAAACATTTGGTACCACCATTAATTGGATTTGAGTTCTTTTAGTACCAGTGGTAAGGCTAGGAAGTGAACTCAGACAGACATAGGGTGCACCTGCTGTGATGATATTGTAGAATTACGATTAGAAGATTTCTAGCATTGACTATTTCATTTCAGGGAAATCAGTTGTATTTTTTCAGATCTTTTTCCCCCTTCTGTTGCTATGTGGAGTAACTATCACAAATTATGTATACTCATTGCCGAAGAGATGAGTTATTAATTAGCAGGCAATAGATACCCCTCCAAGAACATTTTGGTTAAAGAACCATTCATTTCTCCCTCAACTAAAGCAGCCCGTACGTCTCTCTGTGTACAGGTCTCTGAATTGGCCTGCTTGGGAGCTGGCTAGCGCTAGCTGTGCTGGGGAACTGGGGGAAGGAGGAGCTCAGACTCCAAAACCATCATGGTTTCTTTCTAAAATGTTCATTGCCCTGTGGTTTTCCACAGAGCCAAAGATCTCCTTTAGGTTACAGATTTTAGAAAACTTTGTTTTGGCTTTTGGGAAGCCAATTAATAATTAGAGTTGATCTGCCAAATGAACACAGGTAAAGCCAAAATGACCTCAGTTTCACATCGCATTTTGAATAAATCCAAATTGTTTACCACGGCCTGGGTACTCTGGCCCCTGCTCACCTTTCTCTCTATTCTTCCTTCTTACTGCACTTCATTTACTCTATTCCTGGTTTTTTTCTGTTCCATGAACATCCCTTACCTGTTGCCACCTCAGAGTCTTTGTACTTGCTATTCCCTCTGCCTGAAAAGCTCTTCCGCTTCATCTCTGCTTAGCAGTCTCCTTGTCAATCAGGTCTCAGCTCCACCCTTCCTGAGAAAGGCCCTTCCTTACCATGTTAGCTCAATTTTCTCCCCACCCCCTGACATATTCTATCACATTATTCTATTCTATTTAAGGATTTGCTTGTTTTTGATCGGTCTACCTCTCTGGAATATAAGTTCCAGGTTATCATTTTATGCATCATTATATTCTCATGCATCTGGCACATGCTCAATAAATATTTGTTAAATGAAGGTGGAGTGAAAGAATTTCTCCCATTGACACAATCTCTTTGTAAAGTGTGAAATTCATTAAGTAATTGATATCACCATTCCTCAACTTACCCCAAATCATCTTTCCCCAGCCAGAATGCTGTCCTACAGTATAACAAACCATGACAGAAGAATTCCATGGTGTCCCATGTTCCTGGCCTAGCACCTCACCTGCCACTCACCTGTGGTTACTGCAGAGCTCCAATCTGCTTTAGCCGCGTCAGCAGTTCCCCACTCTGTTGCATAGAGACTAGATCACTGCATCCGCCTATACAATCTTTACCGATAAAGACTCGAGGAACCTAAAGAAGCACACAACCCAGGACATTACTACATTACTAGACTAGAAAGAACATATCCCACCATGAAATATTTCCCATGATTCCAAATTTTTCAAATCACTTTACAACCTCCTCACGTATATGCTTATAGGACAGGACTTCCTTACTGTTATAAGGGGTAACATTATAAACCCAAGAATGTTTTTAAGCCAGAAGAGTTTTCAAGTTGAGTGTGCTATGCATGAGCTTGTCCAACTTGCCAAAGGGATTTTAAAATTTCACTCTACAGCAACATGTTTCAGGAGAATTCTAATTGGCTGCAGTCAGACCACCTAGATTGAACTCTACTTTCTCTGCATCAGGGATTGTAAACTGGGTCACAACAATCAGGAAGGAAGGAATTCATTTCTAAATACAGCTGGAAAAGTATTTGCATTAGGTCTCTGATTTTTCAGGTCCACAGTTTATTAAATACAATCATCTCTCTGTGTTGTTAAAACACAGGCGAGGGCCAGGCACAGTGGCTCTTGACTGTAATCCTACTACTTTTGTGAGGCTGAGGTGGGAGGGTCACTTGAGCCCGAGTTCAAGACCAGCCTAGGTAACATAGTGAGACCCCCGTCTCTACAAAAAATACAAAAATTAGCCAGGCATGGCGGTGCATGCCTATAGTCCCAGCTACTCAGGAAGCTGAAGTGGGAGGATCGCTTTGGCCTGGGAGGTCGAGGCTGCAGTAAGCTGTGATGGTGCCATTGCACTTACACCTGTATGACAGAGCAAAACAAACAAAACAAAACAACACAGGCAAGCTCTGTCCTCAAGCACGGGGGTGTAGTGGTATTTGAGTCTCCTTTAATCACTGGTCCACCATAAGATGGTTAAGTCACCCCGGACGTGGGTGAGTCACCCATGCCAAGCCACAGTCATGACACCTGCTAAATAGGCTTCTCTCTAGTTCCATGCTTCCTCCCTGCTGCTAGGAGCAGACATATTACAGAATTCCAGAGGGCTTTTAGAATCGCGAGGGAGGAGGAAACACCCTCAACGTGGCTGAATTTCCAGGCCAAGGGTGTTCCACCAAGGCTGCCTGGCAGTGAAGAAACAAGCCCCATGGAGGTGAGCATGTCATCAGAGCCAGCGGGCCTTTCCCCGAGTACTAGGAACGCACTGGAGGGGAGGGAGAGGTGGAGGCAGAAAGCAGTGAGACTATTTTTCAAAGCTTTGGGCTTTCCTCAGAAAGCACAGTAATTGGAGCAAATTGTCCAAAAAGTGAGAAAGATGAGAAAAGGGGCTTAATGATTGTGGGTAAGTTCTTACAGCATTTTTATTAAAAAGGGGATCTGGGTGAAGGTAGGCATTAAAAATAAAGTCTAAAAATTAAAAACAAATCTTGCACATTTCCATGGCTATTTCCTGTGCTCTCACAGGATAACTGAGGCTTTGAAAACCCACAGCCCTGGAGCTGCCCCCCAGCCTCCTGAGACGACCCTGAAATGTGACCAGGCTGCCCCTAGCGTGGAGTTTTGCGCTCAGTGTCTGGCAAAGAAGCGAAAGGCTCCTTTACCCTCATACCCATCCTCTAGTCTGGACAACTGCAAAACTGCCTTAAATCGTATCAGTGAATGGTACCCCTAATGGGAGATGAACGGCAGGCTGTACAGGATGGCATGGAGGGCTGTGGCAGTGAAACCGAAGCAAGTACTGTTGACAAAGCTGAGCAAAGAAGAGGAACCAGCCTGTGCTCCCTCCCCTTCCGTCCCTTCCCAGCCTCCTCCTTAGAGGAACTTGAGAGTCCACTACCGTCAAGGAGAGGAAAGAACTGCCACCCCAAAATGAGTTTGGTAATCCTGTGGTTCTTACTCTCCTGGAGTAGGTTCCCCCAGCCTCAGCCAGGCAGCGTCTCCTGCACACTAGCTAGGGTTACACAAATGCAACTACTCAAAAGCGATTTCTCAGCACTTCCTCAGCTTCCTCCCTGGTACAAGCCACCTTCATTTGTCACCCGAATAACTGCTATAGCGGCTCCCAATGTCTCCCAGCTTCAACCTTCACTCTTGCCCTACTGTCTCTTTTCCCCACAGCTGCCAGAGTGGCCCTTTCTTTCTTTTTTTTTTTTTTTTTTGAGACAGAGTCTCGCTCTGTCGCCCAGGCTGGAGTGCAGTGGTGAGATCTCGGCTCACTGCAAGCTCCGCCTCCTGGGTTCACACCATTCTCCTGCCTCAACCTCCTGAGTAGCTGGGACTACAGGCGCCTGCCACCACACCCAGCTAATTTTTTGTATTTTTATAGAGACGGGGTTTCACTGTGTTAGCCAGGATGGTCTCGATCTCCTGCCCTCGTGATCCGCCCGCCTTGGCCTCCCAAAGTGCTGGGATTACAGGCTTGAGCCACCGCGCCCGGCCCAGAGTGGCCCTTTCAAAATGGAGTCAGATCAAGTGACTTGTCTGCTCAGCACCCACCAAGGGCATCTCATCTCACACCAAGTACCAGTCACAGTTCTTCCAAGCTCCCATTAGGTCTCAGACCTCACCTCCACTAACTCTCCTACTGGCTCACAGTGCTGCAACCATACTGGCCTCCTTACTGTTCCACAAACCTGCCACGCAAACATCTACCCTGGGAACTTTGCATTCACGCTGCCTGTAAATTGTGTATGCCCATCTCCCTCAGCTTCTATAGATATCTGCTCGAATGTTCCCTTCTCAGTGAGACCCAATGGCTCCATTTAAAACTGGACCCTGCTGCTGCTTCCCTACCTTTTCTACTTTTCCTCATAGCACGTGCCACTTACCACCTCTCAACATACTGTTTTATTATTGTATTTGTTTGTCTCCCCCACTAAAATATAGGTTCAACAAAGGCAGAAGGTTTTTTTTTTTTCATGGCAGAAAAGACAGATTTTTTTCCCCACTGTCCATAAAAGTGCCTGGTACATAGTAGGTGCTTAAAAGTATTTGTTGCATGCAGTAAAATCATCATTCAAATGTGAAGGAGAAATACTTTCTAAAATAAACAAAACTTGAGGAAATGTGTTACCAATGGAATCACCTTGCAAGAAATGCCCAAAGAAGTTCTTCAGAGAGAAGGGAAATGATATAGGTCAGAAACTCAGATCTATGTAAAGAAAAGTGCATTACAGGAGAAATAAATGAAGGCACTAATTTAGGAGCTGTGACTATAGCAAAACAAAAACAGGTTTCACTAAGTACATGGCTTGATTGAAGGCACTAACTTTCCATAATCATGTCCTGCTGATTACCTACTAGATACTTTACAGAATAATTAAGACCGCAGGTTCAGGCCGGGTGCTGTGGCTCACGCCTGTAATCCCAGCACTTTGGGAGGCTGAGGCAGATGGATCACGAGGTCAGGAGATCGAGACTATCCTGGCTAAGACAGTGAAAACCCCATCTCTACTAAACATACAAAAAATTAGCCGGGCGTGGTGGAGGGCGCCTGTATTCCCAGCTACTCGGGAGGCTGAGGCAGGAGAATGGCGTGAACCCGGACACGGAGCTTGCAGTGAGCCAAGATCTCGCCACTGCACTCCAGCCTGGGGGACAGAGCAAGACTCTGTCTCAAAAAAACAAACAAACAAGCAAAAAACCCACAGGAGCTTTCAGAGCCTTTGAATACAAACACTTACCTGTTGGGGATCAAACAAGCAGCTTTAAAAGATTTGTTCTTCCCCTAGGAGGAATGCATTCAGAATTCAAGAATCTGTGAAAAAACATTTTTCTAAAAATGAAAAACAGGCTTGTTGAGGTGGATCATGTCTGTAATCCCAGCAGTTTGGGAGGCCAAGGTGGAAGGATAGCTGGAGGCCAGGAGTTCAAGACCAGCCTGGGCAACATAACAAGACCCTCATCTGTACAAAAACCTTAAAAAATTAGCTGGGTACGATGGCTCATGCCTGTAGTCCCAGCCACGGGAGACTGAGGTGGGAGGGTCACTTCAGCCCAGGAGTTCGAGGCTGCAGTCAGCTATCATTGCACCCCTGCACTCCAGCCTGGGTGACAGAGTAAGACTCTGTCTCTTAAAAAAAAAAAAAAAAAAAAAACCTTAAAAGATCACTACAAGAAATATTGTTGTTCTACAAAGAAATGAAAAAGCAATTGTTGGCCAGGTGTGGTGGCTCACGCTTACACTTTGGGAGGCTGAGGTGGGTGTGTCACCTGAGGTCAGGAGTTCGAGACCAGCCTGGCCAATATGGTGAAACCCCATCTCTACTAAAAATACAAAAATTAGCTGGGCGTGGTGACATGCGGTTGTAATCCCAGCTACTTGGGAGGCTGAGGGAGGAGAACCCAGGAGGCAGAGGTTGCAGTGAGCCAAGATTGCGCCATTGCACTCCAGCCTGGGTGACGAGTGAAACTCTGTCTCAAAAAAAAAAAAAAACAAAAAACTAAAAACTAATACTTGGCTCCCACCTCTGACATTGTGATTTAGTTATTGAGGGGCATAATTTGGGCATAAGGATTGTTTTACAAGCTCTCTAGGTGATCTAATGTGCAGCAAAGTTTGGGAACCAATGGCTGAAAGGTCCTCAGGGTGGCAGCCACAGTGGGGCCTGTAGTAGTGTTTGCACTGCCCTTTACACCTCTCAGGGCCTGGGCATCCTATGCAGCTGTGGTCCCAGTAGGCAGCAATAGCCTCTGTCGTCATTGTGTACACTCCAGGACCTCAGCACACAGCAGTAGGGTAACACACTAAGCCCTCTCTGCACCAAAATGCTGACTTCTTATTAGAGAGGAGAGAAACAACCTCCAATGCTTTACACTCAGAACCCAGTAACAACCTTGTAAGTCAAACTAAAACTAAAATAGCATATGTGCTTGGCCCAACACTGTGCTGTAGAATGTGCATCCCAAAAGGGAACTTAGCTGAACTGGTGGGACATTTCTCATCCCACCTCGCAGCAGAACTGATACAGGTGATGTGGTTGGCATCCCTCCTGAAGCCCAGGACGCAAAGCCAAGGATACTAAAGACAGGGAAGTCTTTCAGATGGAGAAGAGCAATTTTTAGAGGGTCCCACAGCCTATTCACAGCAAATGAGACTTTGAGGTCACCTAATCTGGTCTTGCAGCTGGGATCTTTGAGGACTACAAGAGTGGTGACTTGCCCAGGATCACACAGCCAGCCATTATAAGAGCCAGGCCAGAAGAACTCCAGGCTATGATTCCCTACAATGTGGGGCCTGGAAACATCCATAATTAATTTAGAACAAGGGGCAGATAATGGTACATTAGATTTTTCCAGTGAGAGGAATTAAATAAGGAAGAATGAGCCAATTAGAAAAAGAAAGCCTAGAGAAGAGAATGAAGAACATGACTCTCATGTTAAATAACCAGCACATCACACCCGGCCCTCCATCCCAGCTTCCACCTCCAGCCCTGCCAGCTGAAAACTGTCATTTTGGCAGTGCTTAAAACAAAGACTCTAGATAATTCCCCGGGGACTCCCCGGCAAGCTGCTGGGCCCACTTACCCTGTCGCACAGCAGACATCAGCTGTACTCCCTCTTCGGCTGTGAGAGGACCTTTGGCTGCAGTGCCGCCGCTCACTCAAGTGACCGAGATCCTCTCTAAGGCGCCCTCCCCCACACCCCCCCGCCCCGCACAGCCCTCTGGACGCCTTGAAGGACGGAGCCGCAGCCTTGTCCTAAAGAAAGACACAGCTCTGACAAGAAAAGGCAATCCGGGAGCCTTTCCCTAGCCGTTTAAAATGAAACTCACCGTTCTTGCTCCCGTGAGCTGTTGCAAATAATCTTGAATCTCGTTAGTGTGGTTGGTGGCTGTGATATCGACAAATTCCAGAAGCCCTTGTTTGATGGGCAATTGACTGAGGATCTCTTGGGCCCTCCTGCAGTATGGGCAGGTGGGCTTGATGAACACAACCACCTTCCCAGGCTGGATTTTGCCGTTCACAAACTCTTGAGCCATGCCGATGGGCTGCGGTCTCCCCGGGAAGAATCCTCAGTTGCAGGTATTGCTTGGGGTATTGAGCCCCGACCCAGCCAGTTGGCTCCTATTTAATAAGGAACCTCCCTGGAGGCGGAGTTTGCCTGGTAGCTTGCTCGAGTTTTAAAGGGACAGCTTCAAAGACATTTCCATCTGGTATACTTCACTAGTTAGCAATGCCTAGGAATGCAATACTTGCCATTTAATCGTTGGTAGCTATGAAAGACACTCTGGGTATCTTTGTTGTCCCTGGACATTTGGGGAGTGCCTGCCCATCGGCAATGATCAGAGTTTAGTCACCTCTGGGGAAGCATACATTGCTTACTCACAAAGGGGCTGAGGAAGCAGTGACTTCTTAGAGCAAATTATTGTTTTACCTCTCGGAGATACAGTTGTATTTTAAAATGCAAACAGAATCACTTAAGAAACAGAACACTTTGAAATCTCTTTAGAGGAAGTGAAACTGAAACTGTGACTTTGCACTCCTTATGAAGGTCGCTCTCAGAGCATTTTGCTTGGACTGTATGGTGGGTGTTTGTTGTTGTGATCTTTTTATTGAAATTATTCTCAGTATTTAAAAATCTGGAGGTCTCACAAAACAATGTGGACTTACAACTTCTCTCTGAAAAGTCAGGTCGGGCAATACAGAGCTTGCGTCTTTTAGTGGAAGCTGCTGGGGCTGACAGCTGATGTCCTCTTTGTATAGGGCAAGTAGTGGCTTTGGTTTGCCACAGGTAACAACGACAGGCCCATGCCTGAGACACCGGCTTCACTCCATAACCATCTGAGTTGGTAACCCTTGAACAGCAGTTTAATATGGAGGCAAATTCCAACACAATCCCTGATACAAAACTACAGATGAAATGAGAATCTTTTTTTTTCTGGTTGACCCTCTGTTTGTGACCCTCTGCTTTTACTGTTTGTGAGGGGAAGTAGTGTTGTCGCTCAGACACCACATTCACTTCAGGTGTTATTAAGACACGGGTTGTACCAGTAGGAAATCTTTCGGTCTTCGCCAGGGTGCCCGTTCTCCTTACCCCGCGGAGCACAGTCTTCTACTCTTGGGTCTAGTTCCGGCCCCCTCTAGCGTATGGTAGCTTAAATAAACAAATCATGGAAAAACCATGTCCTTTAAACGTGAATCAGCCTTTCCCCAGGAAGCTAGCTTTACGGTGAAACCGGAGTATCTTCAAAGAGTTGGGGCGAAGGCCACAGCTGGACACCGCCACTGCCACGTGCGAGGAATCCCAAGCAAACTGCGATCAAGGGAAGGGAAGAAAATCCACTCCCGGAAGCAGCTTTTTACTGTGACTCTCATCGTTAATAAAATTAAAATAGTAAAATGAAAGTCAGATTCTGAGTCACGGAGGGGGAGCTAAGGGACAGCTCTGTCCAGAGAAAAGGATGTGGCTGGGAGGCCCCCCGGCGCGGTCAGGGCCCCGGACTTCCCACTTCCCTCCAGAGGAGGCCCCGCCACAGAGTCTGAGTCTCCTCTCTTTTTTTAGTCTTTTACCTCCGAACTCTGTGGCCAGGCTCCTTCCAGAGACCCCCGCCAGGAGGTCCAGGGTCTCTTTCAGGGCCCTCAGGGCTGCTGCCTTAGGTTCCCTCAGCCTGAGGTTTATCCGCATGACTTGCACCTGCTCCTCACTCAGAGCCTTTCTCTTCTCCCGTCTGTGGTTGGCTCCTCCCTTCCTGCTGCCTCTTCCTCAGCCTGCCACTGTGTTCAAGTTAAAAGCCACCACCACCACCACCACCACTCTCCATTTCCTGCTTTCCTGCCTCTGCCCTTTCGTGAAATTTACTGTCTGTACCTTTCTCACCTCCATCCTCTCATTTTGTTGCAATCTGACCTTGTCAACCATTCTGCTGAATTGTTGGCCAACACCAATCATGGCCTCTATGTCGCCAAATAACCATTTAGCTAGGTATCCTGACCTTTTGCAGTTAGTCACCTGCCCCAAACCTGGGGTAGAGGCTGGGGTCCAGGGAGACTATTGTCTGCCTCTCACTCAGTCCCAGGGACTGCCTGGTGTCTGAAGCATTAGGACATAAGGCACAAGCTAAAGAAGGCTTTTTTTTTTTTTTTTTTTTTTTTTTGGTGAGGCATCATGTGGAACACGGGTGACAAAGAGATGGCAAAGAGGGGGGTGTCCTCTCCATTTCTCAGAAAATGCTGTGGCTTCAACTCAGTGAAAAATGACGAGCCTAGAAGCCTCTGCTGCATTGTAGAGCAGGAGCTGAAACCCAGCATGGACCTCAGGGCATCTCAGTGGGAAGCCGCCATGGGGGCTGCAGATGCCTCAAGTGCTGTAGACAGAAAGAGGGTGTGCGCGTGGACTAACACGTGTGGACTCTCCTTCGGCTTGTGTGAGACACCCCCAGGCACTCCCAGAAAATACATCTTGGAGGGTGAGAAGTGAGGGCATTTTTTAGGGCAGAATCAGTCCTGCTGTGCAGATGGTTGGCAACAAGCTAGTGAAATATGTGTGGTTACTCTTAATGTGACTTCATCTGTACTCACAGGCTGATGAGGGCTGCAAAACATGTGGCCACAAATGAACGTTCTTTAGGTTTTTTCCTTACTTACTCACTGTGCAGGGTTTGACGTTGTACATCCCTGCAGGCCCCTGGAAGTTTTCCTCTTCCCAATGCCCATTGCAGCATGATCTTTTTGCTCTTTCTATCTGGATATTGTCTCAGTCTCTTTGTTAAAAATTTTACCTACGCATATGGTCTGTCTTGGGGCTTGATCTTCCCGCTGTGTACACACCCACTCCTTGAGAGGTTGTAGCTCCACACATGGCTCCAGCTGTCAGTTTTTACTTATGAGCATCACATATTTTTCTTTATCTGGACCTGTCTCCTAAGCTTCAGGGATGGCTATCTCATTGCCTACTGAAAAGACCCACCTGGGGATTCCTTAAGCCTCTCAGCCTCTAGGGAACCAAAACTGAATCTCTCCTGAAGCCACCCTGTTTCCTCCATAACTGCTCAGTGAGCCTGCATGCACCTTCAAGTACTTTTTTGGCCAGGGTGGAAACCTGGCAGGCATCTGTGCTACCCTCTGCTTTTACTTATGCACAGTGGCCAAACCCTACCAAGTTTGCCCCCTGAGTGCCTCCCTGGTCTGAGCACCTGACTGCTCCCATTGGTCCAGCCCTCATTTGTTCTTCACTCCCTCTTGTAGCACCTCCACCCTCGCCTCGCTGCCTACTCCACACTGCTGCTGGGGCAATCTTTAAAAATACACACCCTATCTTGTTCCATCTTAAAACTAGTCCATGGGCTGGGCGCGGTGGCTCATGCCTGTAATCCCAACACTTTGGGAGGCCAAGGTGGGCGGATCACGAGGTCAGGAGTTTGAGACCAGTCTGGCCAATATGGTGAAACCCCATCTCTACTAAAAGTACAAAAGTTAGCTGGGTGTGGTGGTGTGCGCCTGTAGTCCCAGCTCTTCGGGAGGCTGAGGCAGGAGAATCTCTTGAACCCGGGAGGCAGAAGTTGCAGTGAGCCAAGATCGTGCCACCACACTGGGCGACAGAACAAGACTCCATCTCAAAAAACAAACAAACAAAAAACTAGTCCATGTTTCCCCAGGACAAAATCCAGATTTCCTTGTGGGGATGTGGCCCTATGTGATGGGTCCTCCCTGCCCTGTTCACCATATCCCAGCTTCCCCTCAACATCTAAGAGACAGGAGGCAGCCAGTGGTCCCTGGTAAAACCCTGCCTCCAAGTCTAAAACAACCTGAAGGCTGAAAAACTGGATTGCTGTCCTAGCACTTTGGGAGGCCGAGGCGGGTGGATCACCTGAGGTCAGGAGTTAAAGACCAGCCTGGCCAACATGGTGAAACCCCATCTCTACTAAAAATACAAAAAAATTAGCTGGGCGTGGTAGCGGGTGCCTGTAATCCCAGCTACTTGGAAGGCTGAGGCAGGAGAATTGCTTCAACCCAGGAGGCAGAGGTTGCAGTGAGCGAGATCTCGCCATTGCACTCTGGCCTGGGCTACAAGAGCAAAAGTCTGTCTCAAAAAATACCGGAAACAAAGACAAAACACTGGACAGCTGGTCCCAGATGAGGCCTGCCCTTTCCCGACTGATTCTTTCTGAATAATGTCCACCTGTGCACTGGGAAGATGGAGTGAAACCTTGGGAAGTTTGCACCGTTTGCAGCGAGGAGGAGCCTGGCCCTTCCTGTTCCTGTGTCCTGACCTGGAACTCAATCTGTGAGCTGGGAAACCTGCTATCAGGACTCTCTCTTGTTTTGCTGAGAGTTATTTTTCCTTTTTTCTTTTCATCCAATAAATTCCATTTTCCTCACCCTTCTATGTGTCCGCAAGCCTCATCTTTCCTGGTCGTGTGACAAGAGCCCAGTTTTACCTGAACTAAGGGGAACGTTCTGCAACAATTTCTCCTTTGCTCCAACTGTTTGGACTCTGAGCCATGTCCTCACTGCTGCCACTCACACTTGGGACCTGTTGCTCCCTGTGCCCAGGGTGCCCTTCCTCTTGTTTCTGGGTGGCTGACTCCTGCTGGCCCAAAGGGATCCAGATCAGGATGGTGTGTTAGCACCTCTAAGAAGTACCCAAAAACACTCACCTCTTTCCCCCATGGGATGGGTGCCCCTCCATGGGGCTCACGTGTCATACTGCGCCCTGACTCATCACATGTCATTGTTCCTTTGTATTAATTTTCTGTGATCTATAGTGAGTTCCTTGAGGGCAGGGAAAGGACTTTTATCTCTGCATTACCACAGCCCACACTGGTTCTTATCCATCCATCCACCCATCCATCCAACAGACATTTATTAATCAACTACTCTCAGCCAAACACAAACATCCATCATACAGCCCCAGGTCTTAGGAGTTTATAGTTTAGTGGGCGATATAAACACGGAAAATGGACTGTTAGAAAGTATTCTGGTTAACAGAAATGTGTATGGGCATTAGGTTAACCAAAGGGAGTAATCATTCCCACCTGGAGGTTGGCTGGGGAAAGGGCCCATATCAAAGGAGAGCCAGGCTGAATCTTGAGGGATAAGAAGCTTGTGAGTGTACAAGGAAGGGAAGGGCATTGCAGGCAGAGGGAGTAGGAAGAAGAAGAACAACATAAACAGTGCTCAACATTGAACATGAATAGAGCGTTGGGGTTTGAGTAGGGAGAGGAGAGAGAGACAACTGGAGAGCAGGCAGAGAACAGGGGAACTTTACCACATTGCAGAGGGAGGACTTCACACACAGGCACCG